CCCCAATCCTTTCCGATCTCATTCCAGGCCACGTTAGCACCCGATAGGAACACCTTCTGTCCGTTATAGTAGAACTCCTTTCCCTTCACCTGTAGGTAGGCGTCGGATCCACAGGAAAGGTATGCGATTAATACTACAACTAATAATTCTTTAAACATTTTAAATTATTATTAAAGTTACTTATTTGCTAAACACTTTATATGATTGTAACTGTAATGCAAAAATTGAAAGCTTGTTTAAATATCAATTCAGACTTTGTAGTTTAGATCAGATTATAGTACAAATATAATCCTTTTGATAATTAATCTGGATATCATTTAAAATATAATTCTATTATACTTAAATCAGTACTTAGATTCTATTTTAAATTCAATAAATAAATAAATATTATAAGATAACTTTAAAAAGTACTTTTTAAGTACTTTTTAAAAGAAATACCAAAAATTATTTATAGTTTTCACAACTATTTCTTAAAACAAATTGTGTAAGAACCTTTTTAGGTGTTATTTTGTTTGCGATTTAAATTTTATCTGTATTATGTTATCTTAAGTGGTTATTATTTAATATTTTCCCAAATGATATGAGAAATACTGTACTCAATAATAGTAATTTAATGTAAAAATAACAAATGTTGGTTTAAATTTCGAAATAATTGCCAGAATAAANTCTGTATTATGTTATCTTAAGTGGTTATTATTTAATATTTTCCCAAATGATATGAGAAATACTGTACTCAATAATAGTAATTTAATGTAAAAATAACAAATGTTGGTTTAAATTTCGAAATAATTGCCAGAATAAAACAATATCTCATTTTTTACATTATATTAGCAATATCCATGACCTCTTCAGGTTCATTTTGTATGTTCCAAGCGGCTAATGCTTTCTTGCCTACCGGTGCAAAAAAGTTGTAAACAAATCATTACATAAATAAATTCAATTAACTTTACACATTCAGTATAAACAGTTGTATTATTTACTGTATGTGTAAAGTCATTACAATTCTATAAATAAATGTCGAGAATATTCGTGTAATTGAAATATACCTTTAAGTCCATTAACCATAGGAAGGAGTGCTTTATCAATGTATGCCTGAACCTTCTCATCATGAATAAACCCTGGTGAGTCTTCAATATTGGATCTTGAGACATACAAATTATTTTTAGCCTAGTATCATCAGCATTTAATGTTACATTAAATTCAATTATAATAATCTAAAGCCCAGTCACTGGTAAACATGCATAATACTGTATGATAAACACGTTATGTTTCTCGGCGTCGCCCATAAGCACCTGTAGTTCCTTCACTAAATCATTTTGTTAATCCGTTCCCACGACATACCCGTGTGTATCCCCTTCAAAATGTAGCCAAACTCTGGCCACATTACTTCCGTGTCGCTAATACCGGACAACCACTCATTCATTTAGTCCTGTGCTCCCAATACTTGCCACCATTTCCCCAATCACTTCCCAATCGGTTCCACGCTATGTTAGCACCCGATATGAATATCTTCTGTCCCTTATAGTAGAATTCCTTTCCCTTCACCTGTAGGTAGGCATCAGACCCACTGAACAGGTATGCCAGCAAATATATGCAAATTATTTCTCTAAACATTATTATTTATTAATTATAATAATGATTATTTCATTTTCTATTTTATTAATTACAATTTAGTTTATATATAAAATTTCATTTCAGAATATGTTTGAAATCACATGAGTATATCATCTAACAAG